TATTTCATGGTTTTTGCTGCTGCTCTTGTATTGATTGTTTTTCTAATTGGTCGTTGCTATTGAAAAGTTATTGGTTATGCATTGAATGTATATTTGCCCTACTTAATGACCTCCCATATTAGTTTTAACAGTTTTTCAGGTGGTTTTCTTAGATGTTTTTAGGTGGATGTTCATATCATTCATGAGTAATATTAGCTTTGACCCTTTTTTCTAACAGTTCTCTGCATATATATATATTTTTTAATTTAATTGTATTGGCTAGGATTACATTGTCTGGTTGTTCCTGATTTTATCTTTTTTTTTTTTTTTTTTAATCCTCACCTGAGGACCTTTTTCCATCTATCTGGAGAGAGAGAGGGAGAGAGAGAAACATCAACGTGAGAGGGACACACTGACTGGTTGCCTCCCACATGACCCGGACCAAAGTCGGGGACGAACTGCAACCTGATTGTTCCCGATTTTAATTGTAAGACTTTTAATGTCTTCACTATTTGGTGTTACATTTGCTGTTCATTTCTCTTGGTTTTTCCCCATCTTAGGTGAGAGAGTTTCCCTTTATTCCTGGATTGCTAAGAATGTACACTAAAAAGAAGATAACGCTATAGTTCTAGTAGACCCTTCTTTTTAACTTTAAGAGAATACCAGTTAATGAAGAGCTGGATGTTAAGAAATTTGAGAACCTTGATGAACACTTGGGTTGGTTTCTCCTTTTCACTGTCACGAACAGTGCTGCTATGAGCATTTGTGTACACGTCGTTTTTTTTTGTGTGTGTGTGGATACCTATTTTAATTTTTCTTTGAGATATATATGTATATAGATGGAATTATAAGTAGTAACTAACTTACTGGAGAATTGGCAGACTGTTTTGCCAATTTACATTTCCATCAGCAGCCTATGAGGGTTCTAATATGTCCTTAATCTTACCACTATGTTACTTTCTGACTTTTTGATTCTAGCCATCCTAGTGGGTATGAAGTGGTATCTCATTGTGGTCTTGATCTGCTTCTCCTGTATCTCTCATGTTGTTGAGTATCCTGTGTGCTTGTCAGCCATTTTTATCTTTTCTTTGGAGAAATGTTTATTTAGATGTGTTTTTCAACATTAATTGTGTGAGTTTTTTTATTGTTGAATTGTAAGAGTGCTTTATATATTCTAGGTAAAAGTCCCTTATGAGCTATGTACTTTGCAGATAATTTTTCCCAGTCTGTGAGTTGTCTTTTCACTTTTTGTTTGTTTGTTCATCTTACCTGAGGATATTTTTCCATTGATTTTAGATCGAGTGGAAGGGAGGGACGAAAGGGGGCAGAGAGAGAAATCAGCTGCCTCCTGCATGACTGCTGACTAGAGCAGGGGATAGAACCTGCAACTCAGATACAGCTTGACCGGGAATCGAACCCCGAGACCCTCTGGTCTGTGTGTCCAGGGCAGTTATCTTTTCACTTTTTTTCTGTCCTTTGAAGCGTAAGAGTTTTACATGTTGATGGAGTCCAGTTTCTCTGTTTTTGCATGTGCTTTTGATGTGCATTTGGTAGACTGCGTTGCCTCACCCAGTGTCACAAAGTATTACACCTGTGTTTTGATAAAAATTGTATAGCTTTAGCCCTGGCCGGTTTGGCTCAGCAGTTGGAGCGTCGGCCTGCAGTCCAGAGAGACCCGGGTTCGGTTCCCGCTAAGGGCATGTACCTCGGTTGCGGTTTGTCCCTGGCCCTGGTTGGGTCGTGCGGGTGGCAGTTATTCGATGTGTCCCTTTCATGTCGATGATTCTCTCTCTCTCTCTCTCCTTCCCACTCTATCTGAGCAAAGAGTGGAAAAATGTCCTTGGATGAGGATTAAAAAAAAAAATTGTATAGCTTTATTACTTACATTTAGGTCTTTGGTACAGGTGTCCCAGCACCATTTGTTGAAAAAACTATACCCTTGTCAAAAATAGACTTATTTTTCAGTAAAACTTGGAGAAAAATAAATTGATCATAGCTATGTGGATTTATTTTTGGATTCTTAATTCTGTCTTATTGATCTTTATGTTTATCCTTATGCCAACACCACACTGTCTTGGTGACTTCTGCTTTATAAAGTAAGTTTTGAAATTAATAGTGTGTGTCTTTTCACTTACTCTTTTTAAGATTGAGCTTGGTCTCTTGAGTTTTCATATGTTAGAATCAGCTTTTTTTTTAAGTCAAGGACTTTTTAAAAATATGTTCTTATTGATTTTTTGGAGAGAGAGGAAGGGAGAGAGAGATAGAAACATTGATGTGAGAGAGAAACATTGATTCTCTGCCTCCTATATGCCCCCTGCTTGGGATTGAGCCTGAAACCCAGGCCTGTGCCCTGATCCGGAATCGAACTGGGACCTCTCAGTCCATGGGACAGTGCTCAGTCCACATTCTGGCCTGGTGTAGAATCAGCTTTTCACTTTCTACAAAAAAGCCATTTGAGATTCTGATAGGGGTTGCATTGAAGCTATAGATAAATTTGGGAAGTATTGTCATCTTAATAGTTGTCTTCTGATGTATGAACACAAAATGTCGTTCTTTAGTTTTTTCTAACAATATTTTGTAGTTTTAGGGCCATAAGTTTTGCTCTTCTTTTGTTAAATTAATTCCTAAGTATTTTAATCTTCTTAAGTGGTTGTAAATGGAAATTTTTTTTTTGATTTGTTAATTTCTACTATATAGAAATACCATTGATTTTTGCATATTGATCTTAAATCCTCCAGTCTTGCTGAATTCTATTCTAATAGCTTTTAATGGAATCCTTAGGATTTCCTGTGTACAGATTACATCATTTTGTGAATAGAGATTGTTTTTACTTCTTCCTTTCCAATATGGATACCTTTTTTATTTTTTCTTGCCTAATTGCCTTGGTTAGAACCTCCTGCACAGTATTCAATAGAAGAGTTGAGAGTGGACATCCTTGTTTTGTTCCTATTCTTTGAGGAAAAGCATCTGGTCTTTAGCTTTTAAATATGATGTTAGCTGTGGGTTTTCTAGATACATTTTATGAGACTGAGAAGTTTCTTTCTATTCCTAGTGAGTGCTTTTATCATAAAAAGTTTGGATTTTGTCAAATGCTTTTTCTGTGCCTATTGACATCATGATGTGATATTTGTTTTTTATTCTACTGATATGTTAGACTGATCTTACATCCCTAGGACAAATCTCACTTAAGTCATAGGGTATAATTTTATTTAGATGTGGCTGGATTCAATTTGCTAGTATTTTGTTGAGAATTTTGCACTTATATTTATAAGAGATATTGAATTTGGTATCAAGGTAATGCTGGCCTTGCAGAATGAATTGGGAAGTGCTTCCTCCTGTTCTGTTTTTCTGAAGAGTTTGTAAAGAATTGGTATTATTTTTTCTTTAAATATTTGGTAGACTTCAGCAATGACGCCTTCTGGCCTTGGCTTTTCTTTGTGGGTAGTTTTGGACTACCATCCAGTCTCTTTACTTTTTATAGGTCTAGTCAAATTTTGTGTTTCACCCTGGCTTGTTTGGCTCAGCAGTTAGAGCGTTGGCCTGTGGACCAAAGGGTCTCAGGTTTGATTCCCCAGCCCTGGTTGGGGGTCATTTGGGAGGCAACCAGTTGATGTCTATCTACTCTCTCACATCAGTGTTTCTCTCTCTCTCTCCCTCCCTCGCTTCCACTATATCTAAAAATCGACGGAAAAATATTCTCAGCTCTGACGGGTTTGGCTCAGCGGTTAGAGCGTAAGCCCATAGACCAGTGGTTCTTAACCTTCCCAATGCCATGACCCTTTAGTACAGTTCCTCATGTTGTGGTGACCCCCAACCATAAAATTATTTTTGTTGCTACTTCATAACTGTAATTTTGCTACAGTTATGAATCGCCATTGGAAATATGTGTTTTCTGATGGTCGTAGGCAACCCCTGTGAAAGGGTCGTTTGACCTCCAAAGGGGTTGCGACCCACAGCTTGAGAACCGCTGCCATAGACCAATGAGTTGTGGGTTTGATTCCAGTCAAGGGCAGGTACCTCAGTTGCGGTTTTCCCTGGCCCTGATTGGTTGTTTGGGAGGCAACCAGTCAATGTTTCTCTCTCTTTCTTTCTCCCTCCCTCCTACTCTTTTTGAAGATAAATAGAAAAATATCCTCAGGTGAGATTAACCAAAAAAGAAGAGAGAGAAAATTTTGTGTTTCTTTTCGAGTCAGTATCATCAGTTTGATTTTTTTTTCTATATTGATTTTAGAGAGAGAAGAAGGGAAAGGGAGAGAGAGATAGAAACATCGATGAGAGGGAACACCGATTGGCCACCTCCTACATGTCTCCCACTGGGGATCAGGCCCACAACTTGGGTATGTGCCCTGCCCAGGAATCAAACCTGTAACCTCCTGGTGCATGGGTCGATGCTCAACCACTGAGCCACACCGGCCAGGCCATCAGTTTGTGTTTTTTATAATAGTTTGTCAATTTTACGACAATATTTGTTCACAAAAATATTATATTTTAAAATAATGCTTTTTATTTCTGTGAAGTCCGTAGTATGTTTCTGCTTTTATTTCTGATTTATGTAATTTGAGTCTTCTCTCTTTTTTTTCTTTGTCAGGCCAACTAGAGGTTTATCAGTTTTGTTGATCTTTTCAATGAACCGACTTTTGATTTTACTGATTTTTCTGTTTTCCTAATCTCCATTTCATTGATTTCCACCTCATTGTTAATTATTTTGTTCCTTCTTGCTTTAGGTTTGGTTTGTTCGTTTTCCAGTGTTTTAGAGTGAAAGGTTAGGTTACTGAGTTGAGATCTTTCTTTTTATGTATATATGTGAATAAAGCCCCATACATATTTTATTGTATTCTGGGATATTTTCTCAGTTTACCTCCAAATGTGACAATCTAGCCCTACTTGATACTGGCAGGCACCACTGTGCAAATGTTCATACGCCCACTTCTCATACACCAAAGATGATCTGAAGGAACAGGATCAAGATCCCCCTGAATCACTCTCACATTCCTCCTGAGCACTAATGTTAGTTATTTCAGTCTCTTCCCAGTGACGTCTGATGTCCCAGCAAATGGCATTGTCCACTCCGGTGCTGAAAAGGTTCTCCCGACGCTCCAGCAGCGACACGGCTAACATAGGCCTGGTTTGCATTCTGCTGTGTAGACCGTGAACTGGAGTGATGCCTCCAGGCAGGTGGTATGCTGTCCATCCAGCTCAGGCCCAGGCTTCAAGGGAGCGAAGACGCCTTCAGATGGTAAAGAAGGAAGAAGAGGATGAAGGCTACACTTCCGTGCAGGCTGCTAGGCCCCAGACACTCAACCGTTCTGGCCAGGAGCTGTTCCGCCAGCTCTTCAGACAGCTTCGCTACCATGAGTCTTCTGGGCCCCTGGAGACGCTGAGCCGGCTCCAGGAGCTCTGCCGCTGGTGGCTGAGGCCCGATGTTCTCTCCAAGGCCCAGATCCTGGAGCTGCTGGTGCTGGAGCAGTTCCTGAGCATCCTGCCCAGCGAGCTCCGGGCCTGGGTGCAGCTGCATCACCCTGAGAGTGGCCAGGAGGCTGCAGCCCTGCTGGAAGAGCTGCAGAGAGACTTCAGTGGGACACCATGGAGGGTGAGTGAGCAAGTGTGCCCTGCGGAGTGAACTCTGCCTACCAGTGAGCCAGCTTGTTTGGGGGTAGGGTTGGTCTCTGAACCTTCAGTGTTGATCTCTGAACCTTCTCATTCCTGTGGCACCCGAGCAGCTGAGAACTAGACCCTAAGCCAAGGACCTTTTAGCAGGCAGCCCTTCCCACCTTCCCACCTTCCCAGTGGACGATTAGCTACAGGAAGAGGGTCCACAAGTGTCCATTAATAACAGGAACACCTTTTGGACACAGTGACTTAGAATATAGAGTCCATCTTCACATATTATCTAATTGGACTTGATGCTGACCTATAAAGTGGGGGTGATGTCTCTTGCTTGTAAGGGGGAGGAGTAGAGTCTGGACTCGCGACTTCTGAGTACACGTTCAGACCTAGAAGAGCAGTCTATGTGTACCATTCTGCTTTTTTCTCAATAAGTCTTGGAGGATTTGTTCTGTGCAGGGATGAGACTTCATTCCACAACCTCAGTCTTCTTGCCCACATTGTCATCCCTTTCAGAGCCTCAGTTTATGGAAAAGAAAACGCAAAACTCATCTCACAGTGAGAAATTGATCAGTATGTATTTGAGTGCCTGTCAGGTGCGTGGCCCTGGCCGTGGTGCTGGAAACGGGGCTGTAGTCTCAGTGTGGCAGCAGGGCGGCAGGTCAGGTCAAGTGCGCCCTGCCTCTCCGGCCTCTCCTGCCCCCTCAGGTGAGCTTCGTGGCGCTGCCTACATCTCTGTAATTTTTAAAACCAGTATTTATTGCCTGGCTGGTGTGGCTTAGTGGACTGAGTGTTGTCCCATGGACTGAGAGGTGCCGTTTTGATTCCCAGTCAGGGTACATGCCCAGGTTGCAGGCTCGATCACCAGTAAGGAGCATGCAAGAGGCAGCCGATGGATGTTTCTCTCTCACATCGATGGATCTATCTCTCTCCCTTTCTTTCTCTCTAAAAAATTCAATAAAAACATTTTTAAAAATAAGAAATAAAAAATAAAAACATTGCCTGGCCGGTGTGTTTCAGCATCGACCCATGCACCAAGAGGTTGCTGGTTCAATTCTGGGTCAGGGCACATGCCCAGGTTGTGGGCCCAATCCCCAGTGGGGGGCATACAGGAGGCAGCTAATTGATTTCTCTCTCAACGATGTTTTTCTCTCTCCCTCTCTCTTCCTCTTTCTCAATAAAGGAAAAAAAAGATGGTTATTTCTATCAAAGTATGTGTAATTCTACAAATATGATTCATGCATAGATAAAAGTTACTTTCAAGATTTCTGAAACATATTTGACATACTTCTTCCTCAAATGTAATAAAATTAAATCAATCAAATAACACATATGAACATGGTCTACCAGCTGTAAATGGTAATAAATCAACACAAGGTATGACTGTTAAAAAAGGAAACCTCTTTGCTCAACATTAGGTACTATTTTTAAAAATCTAAAAGAGCAGTTATTATTTTTACCAAAATGAGATCAAAAGGATCTAAAAATGATTTATTAAAGCCAACAAGGTAGCCCTGGCCGGTTTGGCTCAGCGGTTAGAGCGTCGGCCTGCTGTCCTGAGACACCCGGGTTCAGTTCCCGCTAAGGGCTCGTACTTCGGTTGCAGTTTGTCCCTGGCCCTGGTTGGTTGTGCGGGTGGCAGCCACTCGATGTGTCCCTTTCACGTCAATGTTTCTCTCTCTCTCTCTCTCTCTCTCTTCCTCTCTCTCCCTCCCACTCTATCTGTACAAAAAATGGAAAAATGTCCTCAGGTGAGGATAAAAAAAAAAAAAGCCAACAAGGTACACAGCAGCTATAAAATCGTGGCTTGGTTGTATTCAACTTATATAGTCCTAGGTGTAAGGTTATAAAATCCATGGAAACATTGCCAAATGAGCAGAAAGGGCCTACCTGGTCAAAAGCAGTTAGAAATTAGAAAACAAAATGGGTGAGGAGAAAGCTTCTAGATTCTTAAAAATGAACAGAAATGTTCAAGATGCATATAAAGTTACAGAATTGCCCTGTGGTTCATCCAGATGACTAATAGGTGAGAAACCAGGGCCTGAGAAAGTTTATCCTCAAACTCAGTTGGCTGTGCTTAGACTTACTGTTTCTTTATCCTCCTTTTAGTGGGGTTTGGGAGGAATGGGGGGTGAATTACTGTGATGAGTTGATCATCCTTAGGCTGTAGCTTGGTATCAGATGTTTAATGGCCTCAGCCCAAGTTTTGTCCATGTCAGTGTAGAGAATGTCTTGGCCACAGGACCATAGAACTGGACGTTCACTGGCTGTAGTTTTCTGCGCTCATTTTTACATCAGGGTTGCCTTGCCTCAGCCATCAGAACTATTTGAAGGCCCAGGGCAAAGCCTGCCTTTCTGCTTGAGCAGGTAGGCACTACAGTTTTTACGCACCTGAGACTTTTTCCTCTGGGGTTCCATGGTTGACCCTCACAGTTTCCTTCATCCGGTTTGCAGTCTGGGAGCTGTCCTGCCTCTTGGGGTCTCTGCAGATAAGTGCCTGGAGCAGTGTGTTTGGTAGACGTCATCCATCTGCATCTGCTGTGGATCGTTACCAGTCCAGCTTCGAGGGATACGTCTTCCTTTCTTTTTTTTTTTTTTCTATCTTCACCCTAGGACATTCTTCCACTTTTTTGTTCAGATAGAGCAGGAGAGAGAGAGAGAGAAACATCGACGTGAAAGGGACACATCGAGTGGCTGCCACCCACATGACCCAACCAGGGCCGGGGACAAACTTCAACCGAGGTCCATGCCCTTAGCGGGAACCGAACCCAGGTCTCTGTGGACCGCAGGCCAATGCTCTAACCACTAAGCAAAACTGGCCAGGGCCTTTCTTTTTATTTAAAAAGAAAAAAAAATCACCCTGGCCGGTTTGGCTCAGCAGTTAGAACATCGGCCCATAGACTAGATTGTCAAGGGTTTGATTCTGGTCGAGGGCACATACTTCGTTTGTGGTTCGATCCCTGGCCCGGGTTGGGGTCATACAGGAGGCAACCAGTCGATGTGTTTTTCTCACATCAATGTTTCTCTCTCTTTTTCTCTCTCTATCCCTTCCTCCCTCTCTCTGAAAAAGCAATGGAAATAATATTCTCAGGCCCTAGCCAGTTTCGCTCAGCGGTTAGAGCGTTGGCCTGCGGTCCAGAGAGACCCGGGTTCGGTTTTCGCTAGGGGCATGTGCCTGGGTTGCAGTTTGTCCTTGGCCCTGGTTGGGGTTGTGTGGTTGGCAACCACTAGACGTGTCTCTCTCACATCGATGTTTCTCTCTCTCTCTCTCTCTCCCTCCCTCCCTCCCTCCCTCACTCCCTCCTGCTCTATGTGAGGATGAGTGCAAAAATATCCTCGGGTGAGGATAAAAAATATATATGTATATCTTTGGGTGAGGATTAAAAAAAAAATCGAGAAAAGGGATATGTCTTTCTTTTCTAAGTTCCAGGCCAGGGATGGGGGCTGAGGGTTAGTAGGGAGGTTGTCACTACGGCACCTAAGGCCTAACCACAGCGCTGTTACTGACTTGCCAGGTGCTTCTTAGGTCGAGCTGGACTCTGGCTCCACCGGTCACCCCCATGGCCCACAACAGAACCCAGGGAGGCTGTGGGGAGAGGGGTCCTCCCTGGGCTTTCTCCTCCGCCTCTCCCCTCTGCCTGTAGGTAATAAAGGGCCTGGGTTGTCCTTCTCTGGTCTCTGTCCTTTAGAGATGGGCCGCGTGGCCTCCTGTCTGAGTTGTTTTCTGATCCCCATGGGGATCCTCTCACATTTTCTTCTTGCCAGGACCCAGCCCCTGCCCAGAGCCCAGATGTGCGTTGGATGGGGACAGAAGCCCTGCGAGCCCCGCAGATGTGGCCCTCTGCTCCGGGGGACCGCCGGGAGCCTCCCTGTGAAGTAGGAGTGCGTGACTTCCTGCCTGGGCAACCCGGTACTCAACACCTGGCACTCAGACCCCAGCCTGTGCCACACTCCCAAATTCCTGTAGTGTCATCTTTTCACTGTCCGTCTTCTCATGAGAACCCTTTCTGTCCTGGCCCTTAGCTCTGTCTGTTCTGCCTCTTCTGTGACCCATGTTTGCCCGGTTCCACCTTCCGTTGCACACCGTGCCCCTCCACCTCTCACTCCCGGCTTCCAGCACACACTGGGGGATGTGAAGTGGGTGTTAAGTACAGTCCACGCCTGCTGTGGGCCAGGCGTGCCCGTGGAGGGAAGAGGGGGCTGCCCTCATGGCTCTTTCTTCTTCAGATCCTCCTGCTGCCCAAGTGCCTGCCCTTTCCCAGAAAGAGGGGTGCCCAGGAGATGGGGTGACAGCCCAGCCTCAGGTGAGCCACAGGACCTTCAGTTCCTCATGACGTCCAGTGTTGCTACCTAACGGAGTAGCTGCAGCTCCATTTCCTGTGTCTCTCTGTCCAGTGCCCTCGCGTCTGGAAACCCATGTCCCAGAGACCAGAGTACCCCCTGGAGCCCAGAGCTTTTCTGCTGGGTGGTCTCTTTCACCCTCAGCAGGTCCATCCTGCACTCGCTCAGAGCCAGCCCCATTCCCCAGCCTCCCCTCCTGAAAACCGACCTGCGGACTGGCTCTAAGGTATAGGAGTGTGTCTTTTTAGGAGGCCCTGACTTTCAAGGATGTGGAGATGATCTTCTCGCAGGATGAGTGGGGGTGGCTGAACCCAGCTCAGAGGAACCTCTACAGGGATGTGATGCTGGAGAACTATGGGAACTTGGCTTCTCTGGGTAAGGCATTGCTGTCCCCATGATTCTGCCTACCTTTATTGCTGCCTTCGTAGTGTTCCTTATGGTGCATATGAAAGGGCCTGACCTGGGTTTAGATTCCAGTTCTGTAACTGCTAAAAAATCAGTTTCTCTTCTCTTGAAAAACGGAGATAAGAATGCCTGGCATGCTGGGTTATCATAAAGATTAAAAGTCATGTGTGTCAAGTTCCTAGTCCATTTAGGCATCCAAAATATGTCAGCTGATTGAATCGATGGGCTCGCCATGTGGTTCTCACCTCCAGAGAATCCTAGTGACCCTTTTGGCTGTGACTTCTCTCAGCCTCTAGTCTCTGCTCAGGGCTATTAGAAATGGCTGTCTGGGCCTCCGGCCTTAGCTTCCTCTACTTGCCTCCCTGGCCTTTCCCTCCTCCCTAACAAAACCCCAGACTCGAGAGCGTCCTGGAGGGTAGTTCTGTGCGACTCATCTACCTTCCCGTCCCGTCCCCTCCCCTTCTCTTCTGCAGTGGGGCCATTCACCAAACCTGCTCTGACCTCCCGTCCCCTTCTCTTCTGCAGTGGGGCCATTCACCAAACCTGCTCTGACCTCCCGTCCCCTCCCCTTCTCTTCTGCAGTGGGGCCATTCACCAAACCTGCTCTGATCTCCCGTCCCCTCCCCTTCTCTTCTGCAGTGGGGCCATTCACCAAACCTGCTCTGATCTGTCCCCTCCCCTTCTCTTCTGCAGTGGGGCCATTCACCAAACCTGCTCTGATCTGTCCCCTCCCCTTCTCTTCTGCAGTGGGGCCATTCACCAAACCTGCTCTGATCTCCCGTCCCCTCCCCTTCTCTTCTGCAGTGGGGCCATTCACCAAACCTGCTCTGATCTGTCCCCTCCCCTTCTCTTCTGCAGTGGGGCCATTCACCAAACCTGCTCTGATCTGTCCCCTCCCCTTCTCTTCTGCAGTGGGGCCATTCACCAAACCTGCTCTGACCTCCCGTCCCCTCCCCTTCTCTTCTGCAGTGGGGCCATTCACCAAACCTGCTCTGATCTGTCCCCTCCCCTTCTCTTCTGCAGTGGGGCCATTCACCAAACCTGCTCTGACCTCCCGTCCCCTCCCCTTCTCTTCTGCAGTGGGGCCATTCACCAAACCTGCTCTGATCTGTCCCCTCCCCTTCTCTTCTGCAGTGGGGCCATTCACCAAACCTGCTCTGACCTCCCGTCCCCTCCCCTTCTCTTCTGCAGTGGGGCCATTCACCAAACCTGCTCTGATCTCCCGTCCCCTCCCCTTCTCTTCTGCAGTGGGGCCATTCACCAAACCTGCTCTGATCTCCTGGTTAGAGGCAAGGGAGCCGTGGGGCCTGAAAGTCCCAGGAGTTCAGCCTAAGGGGAATCCAGGTGCTGCCCCTGCAGGTGAGTTCTCGAGAACCTTCGAGATCCTGCCCTTTCAGCGTCTGTCTGCTCTTTCTTAAGGTCTTGCACACCAAATAAATCATGGATAACTTACTTCATTGTTTACTAGGAGGAAGATCCTATGAGTGTTGCTAGGGAGTGCTGGGCCCTGGCCTTCTCCCCTCCAGACCGGCCTGTAAGACATTCATTTCTGGCCCTGCCCCTGCCTAGCAGCCCTGTCAGTAACAGTCTTGCCCACGGAGGGCTTCGCCATTCTTTCTCTTCTCCATCCATCGATGCTCCTCAGCTCGGCGCTGCACTCCTGTTGAACCCCCCTTCCTGCCCCTTCCTGCTTTAGGAGCCACATTCCACTCCTGCTCCTCTCCTCCACTGGGTCCTTCCCCCGGCGGGGGGCTAGCTCTCCGGCCTCTCAGCCAGCCCCCCGGAGCCCCGTCCTCGGCTCTGTCTTCTGCCGTGGTCCTGTCCCCTCTCTTGCTATTACCACTCGCCTCTCAACCCTGTTACCTGGCTGTGAGTCCTGTACGTGTCCAGCCCCTGCGCCCATCTTGCTTCTCCTCCCTGCCCTGTCACCTTGGATACTCTCCCGGGTTTTGCCTTGTCCCTGACAATTTTGTAAAGGTATCGGCAGTCAGGCAAAAGCCATACCACCCGCATTCATGGCACTTCTTTGTCCCTTGGTGCTTTCGGAAGTCCCAAGGAGGGGAGAAGAGTGCATTCTCTTGTGTTTTGTTTTGTGTCAGGAGGGGAGCTCCAGATGAAGACAAACAAGCTCATCTTAAATTCAAAACCCCTCGAGGAGGCAGAAGCCTTAGCCGTGTCATCAGGATGTCGTGTGATGAGCGTTTCCGAGGAAACGGGGCTCAGAGAACCTGAGGAACAGAAGAGCGGGTCACAGGAGCTCTGTGGAAATCCCACCCAAGTGAGTGTTAAGAAAAAAGACACCAGTTTCGGTCACAGGACAGGGAAAGCATCGGAAGGATCGGGAGGCAGTAACGGTCTTCATCTCAAACATGCTGCCTATCTGCGCGTTCCCAGAAGAAAGAGATCCCTGAAGCGTGGCTGTGGCCGACACTTCCGAGGGGGCTCATACCACTATGACTACAAGGAGTACGGGAAGGGCCTCAGACGCGTGATCAGTGGGTTTAGCCTACGTCAGAGAATCCACGCTGGACTGAAAGGGACTGTGAAGGATGCACACGGGAAAGACTTCAGCCTTAGCTCTCATCACCAGCGGAATCTTCACGTGGTGGGCTCATTGCATAAGTGCAGTGACTGCGGGAGGACCTTCAGTCACAGCTCCCATCTCGCACACCATCAGAGACTTCACACGCAGGAGAAGCCGTTCAAATGCCGGGTGTGTGGGAAAGCCTTCAGGTGGAGCTCAAACCGTGCGCGACATGAGAGAATTCACACCGGACTGAAACCTTATAAATGTGGTCTATGTGACAAAGCTTTCCAGCGCATGTATGCCTACCACCTGCACCAGGAAACCCACGCTAATCAGAAATTTCTTGAATCTAGTTGGTGTAAGGAAGCCCTTGCTTATGGCTCCCAGTTGGATCATCTGCAAGACCAAAGCGGAGAGAAGCTCTTTGACTGCAGCCAGTGTAGGAAGTCCTTCCACTGTAAGTCATACATCCTTCAGCATCAGAGGATCCACACCCAGGAGAAGCCCTACAAGTGTACCAAGTGTCGGAAGACCTTTCGGTGGAGGTCCAATTTCTCTCGTCATAAGAGAATGCACCAGGAAGAAAAGTTCTACAATCCAGACAGATGCAGGGAAGGCTTCAGGGAGACCCCCAGCTGCAGTCCGCCCCAGAGTGCGCCCCCAGTGGAGAAAGCATTCCTGTGTCAGCAGTGTGGGAAAACTTTTCCTGGGAAGAAATCTCTCATTAACCATCAGAGAATCCACGCAGGCGAGGAACCGTACCGATGTAGTGAATGTGCGGAGGAGTTTACCCACAGGTCGGCCTTCATCGTTCATAAGCAGCAGCACGCCGTGAACAGGACGCCCGAGGACGGGCCCTCTCTCGGCCAGGACAGAGTGTTCCACGCTCCTCCGAGCAGCCGGGCCACGGAGGGAGCCTTCAAATGTAGCCAGTGTGGCAAAGGCTTCCGTAATCACTCCTTCCTCCTCATCCACCAGAGAGTCCACACCAGGGAGAAGCCGTATAAGTGCAGGGAGTGTGGGAAAGCTTTCCGGTGGAGCTCTAACCTCTCGCGACACCAGAGGAGTCACTCTTTGGGGAAACAGTACGAGTGCCACGAGAGTAGGGACACTCCAGATGTGCAGTCGCAGATGCTCACTGGCGAGAAGAAACCTTTCTGGTGCCAAGAATGTGGCAAAACCTTTACACGTAAAAGAAGTCTTCTAGATCACAAGGGAATTCACAGTGGAGAGAAGCGCTACAAATGTAACCTGTGTGAGAAATCTTACGATAGAAACTACCGCCTTGTGAATCATCAGAGAATCCACACGAAAGAGAAACCTTTCAAATGTCAGTGGTGTGGGAAAGATTTCATCGGGAGACACACCCTCTGCATCCATCAGAGAAAACACACCCGGGCGGCGCCGTCTGAAAGCAGCCTGGCTGAGTCGTCTTCCTCCCACGACAAAGGGGTGATTTTACAGGAGTTAAAACCAAGTAGGGAGAAGCCCCTGGAAGACAGTGAGCAGAGCTCCAGGCCCACCGGACTCCAGAACTTAGCCGTGGGGAAAAAGTGTCACAAATGTAGCACGTGTGGGAAAACTTTTAGCAAGACCTCACAACTCATTAGCCACAAGAGATTCCATACTCGAGAGAGACCCTTCAAGTGCACGAAGTGTGGGAAGACCTTCAGGTGGGCTTCCAATTTGGCTCGGCACATGAAAAGCCATGTTAGTGATTAGCTTGGGGCCCGGCGATGGGGGGAGGGGGTTGCTGGCTGTTGGCTAGAGAACCTTCAGTGTAGGCAGTGTGGGGAAAACCTTCGCAGAGGGCCTAGCCCTTTCTGTTTTGGAAGCTATTGGCAGAGAATCTGGAGGGGTCAGAAACTAAGGCTGCCCTCATTTTGCCCACCGGGGAGTGAGATGCTCTTTGGTGAACATCTACAGACTCAGGTCCTTAGGAGTGGTCTTCGTACAAGACCTGGAGCTCCCCAGCCAGGTCTTCTTCCGTAACTCTAAAGGGAGAGACACACCATTGCCCTTTTGGTTTGACAAAATGTCTGTGGCATGGTGGGTGGTGGCTGCTGGGAAGGGGCCAGTTGGATCCTAGGTTTCCCTCGAGTTTGACCTGGTATGGTGCCTATTCTGTTTGACCTTATAAGCAACAGCAGTCGCAGGGATTTCTAGTCTCCCCAAATGTCTCCCGGGGAGTTCTGGCTTCGGTTCAGCCTTCACAGCTGGCTTTGGATATCTGTTGTGGGCAGCAGGTGGAGGAGAACAGGGTGCCAGGCTTCGCCACCTGGAGAACACAGCACTCCCGTGCCCGTCGCCACCTCCATCCCACAGATGTGCCTGGGCAACAGGTCCTTCTGTTAAACAGAAATGTGCTGAGCTGCTCGCACGTGCCAGACGCTGGTGCGTGTGTGCCAGAGACCCAGCAGTGACCAGAACAGACGATAAAAGCTGCCGTCTTGGATCTTTACAGATGAGAAACAATGAGGCACATAGAGTATTTTGGTTGGTGTGTGTGTGGTGGACAACGTGACTGCGAGGAGTCAGAGCATGCTGGATTGCGAGGAGGGTGATGATTTTAAATAGGCTTGGTCACGGGCCTCAACTGAGAAGGGGAAATGGGAGCCAAGACCTGAAGGAAGTCAGGGAGTGAGTCTGCAGGTCTCTAGAACCACACACAGGTGTTGGGCCCTTGTCTGGTGTCCTCAGGGAGTGACAGGAGGCCCCTGGGCTGGAGTGGAATGAGCCAGCTGGAGGAGAGGGCCCCAGAGAGGTGGTGGGCTGCCACGCGGGCGTCAGGGTCCTCGCTCGGGCTGCTTTTGGACTTGAATTGAGGAGAGATGTGGTCTGAATGTGAATTCCATTTACAAGAGTTAACCACACACCCAAGGACTCAGTAAAATGATGTAGCTGTAAGCAATTATCCCTACTGCCGGTTTCCATGAGTGGACCCCCACCTCCACCCCTGGTCAAGTGTCTGGAATATTCTACAAGACCAAGCCCTCCGCATGTGTGAGCAGTTACTGTGATTGCAGCTCTGACCTTCACCTGCAGTGCCATGCCCCGTCTGTGCTGGCCCAGGTCCTCACACTTCAAGGCCCAGCTTTCCCTGACCCTTGGCCCTCTAAGCTCTCTTCCCTGGCCCCACATCCCCTGGTCCATGTGTCTTGCTGTGTTAGGTGTTGTCTGTGTTTGCAAAAGTTATGCCCACCACTGCTGCCAGGGCTGGGTGCTTGCTGACCTGCCACGCAGAGGGGACTGCGCAGAGTCGCCTCTGCTAAGGGATATAGAGCTGAATTTAGTTTAGCGAGGTCACGACTGGAGTATTTTGAAAGGGTCCTTGAGTGAAATGGTGACTGGAGACCCCACAGGTGCACTCCTGCTAATTAGGAGCCCAGCTCTGCATGGTTCTGAGCCATAGGGCGCCAGTTGGCAGTGTCTGGCTGCCCCAGCCAGTTTTCATCTTGCACCCCACTCTGGCTTGGAGGACACAGCCCCTTTTCCCACCCTGCCCTCCCTTCTCTCACTCCCCAGGAAGAACCGAAGTTGGGGCTGAAGAGAGCCAGGTGGGCTGGGACTCTGCCAGGAGCAGGGGGCACCAGAAGGTCTTTCAGTCAGCTGTTTGGTGTTGACCGAGACCATCCTCCCAGAATCCAGACAGAGTCACATGCAGAGAAGAAAGCACAGGAAATGTGAATTAATATGGACCATGTCACACTCATCAAGTTGGCAAAATTTTTAAAGCTCTAGTGTGGGTGTGTAGACCGGTGGGAACTCACTGCTGTGTGAGTGGAAATTGTGATGACTGTTGTGCAAAGCAATTTTCAAAAATTTGTAGGTTGTGTATACTCTGTCACCCAATAATTCTGGGTAAACCACAGAATAACGCCCGTGACAAACGAGATGCATGTAAGACTGCATTGCATTACTGTTGGTTGCAGTTTTGTGGAGATAGCAAGATTGGGAAAAGTCTACATTTCCATCAACAGAACAGAGAAATCAGTAGGTGGTTTTTGGTACTTTGGGAAGTGAATATGAAAGATTTACATCTTTCACAGGTTAATAAAAAATGATTCTGAGAAAGTGGCAGAAGGTATGTACAAATACTGGTTCTGTAAAGTTAAACCCTGTATCTGGGGTACATTACTTAAACTCCTATGTGTTTCACTTTTTCTGTAAAATGAAATAGTAGTGCCAGCTTCACAGGGTGACCGAGGGTGGGGGGATGGTTAATGAAATGATGTATGTAAAGTGATTAGAATAGTGGCTGGCCATGAGCACTGTTGGCATATAGTAAGCCGTGTTGTTACTGTTCTGCGCAATAATGTATTTCCTGTGGACGCAAGTATGTGGAGTCAGAGTATAAAATCATGTATCGGAATGACTGTGAAAGTCCTGCTCTGCCCTCCCAGGGCAGGAGTCGCTGATGAACTCGGGGAGGGTACCTGGAGACCTCAGTTGGGTTTTCTTTTTTAAAGTAGGTGTAGACGGGTCAGCATGTTGATTTAACAGCATAGTGCATTGGCTTCCTTTTTAAACTGTTTGCTTAAAATACTTAATAAAACATTTTTTAAGCATGGGCTCTGACATTTTCTGATTTTAGAGAAATCCTGGTATTACTTAGAATGAATCTAAGGTTTCAGGTTCCTCCCCTGCAAAAATCGGGGAGCAACACCAATGGCCGTTGGGAAAGGAATGGTTAAACCTGTCTGGTCTTCCAGATGGAATACTGTGCGGCAGTTAAAAATGAGGATGTTCTTCGCGTATCGGCACATGACCTCCAGGATGTAAACGAAAGCTGTTTCCTTTAGCCCCTCCTTACCTAGTAACAGTAAGCCAGAAGCTCTAAGCTCCTAAATTTAATGATGAAATGGGATCTGTGGACGTAGATGCTGAGTCCTTCATCCCATTGTTTTAGGTAGGTAAGGAAGGGTCATAAACGTTCACACACAGACGACACAGCTTCTAAGTTCATGCTAATCCTACTAAAAAGAAGAAAGAGGTTTAGTATCACCAGGTTCTAGTCAGGAGCCAGAAACCAAAGCACTTATTTTAACAAAAACTTTATAAAGAACTGTTCACTAGATACATCTTTTTTTTAATTTAATTTTTTTCTTTATTGATTTTAGAGAGGAAGGGAGAGAGAAAAGCATCAGTGAGAGAGAACATTGGCCGCCTCCTGCATGCCCCCCACTGGGGATCCGGCCTACAACCTGGGCATGTACCCTGACTGGGAATTGAACCAGCAACCTCTTGGTGCATTGGTCAAGGCTCAACCACTGAGCCACACCGACCAGGCTTCACTAGTTATATTTAAGTAAAAAGGCAAAAAGAAAATGTGAGGACTTCCAGCCCAGATGGCGGCGTAGGTAAACGTGGTACTCTCCTCCCACAACCACATCAAAATTACAACTGAACTACACAACAAACATTCTTCACAACTGCCTGAAATCGAGCTGAATGGAAGTCCTACAACTACAAAATTAAAGAAGCAGCTACATTGGCCCTGGCTAGTTTGGCTCAACAGGGTGTTGGCCCGTGGACCAGAGAGACTCGGGTTTGGTTCCCACTAAGGGCATGTACCTTGATTGCAGTTTGTCCTCGGCCCTGGTTGGGGTTGTGTTGGTGGCAACCAGTTAATGTGTCTCTCTCACATTGTTGTGGCGCGACAGAGTCAAAGAGACCACTAGAGAATTGAAGTCCAAATAAGTGCCGTTTATTAGCCGGCCGGCGAATGATTCCGAACACCCCTGCGGCAGAGTCTTCAGAGATCACCTGGATATGCTTTATTACATGCCTTTTATACCTTACAGTAAAAGTTTAATGATGTAAGAAAATAGGATCTTCTTGATATAATGCCCAGGGCTACAACAGTGCTGTATAGAATTAGTTTGCCTTGCGGATAACGGGAACACCCAGGAAAACCCAGGCCCACCCAGGCTGTTATCTAGGGCATTTCAAGGTACATTGGGTCACACTTAGCCCCGAGCTGCACAAACACAATGCAAGCCTAATTCCTTGAGATTGTGGGGAGGTCGAGTCTCTGACTCAAGACCTCCAGGCTCCGTGGACTCTGTCAGACATGTAGCCGGCTCCCAACAATTTCTTGATTCAGGGAGTATTCCAGCTTACTGAGGTTATTTTGATCTCTATCCTGTTGATTAAATTCTTTACAAAACAGGTTCAGCTAGAGGGCACACAGTGACTTTCCCAGTCATCAATTATGGACCTATAAACATGTCAGCACAACAATTTACCAGTCATCAATTATGGGGTTATGAACATGTTAGCACGACATCGATGTTTCTCTCTCTTCCCCCACCCTCACTCCCGCTCTATCTGAAGATGAACGCAAAAATGTCTTCAGGTGAGGATTTAAAAAAAAAATCAGGAGGGATACTCAGCTGGGAAAGTCCACCCTGAGGAGTGAGGGGGTCCCCGTCCCACACCAGGTGCCCAGCTTAAGGTTCCAGTGCCAGGAAGAGAAGTCCCTACAACCTCTGGCTTTAAAGACCAATGGAAACTGAGGCTGAGGCTGCTGGAGTCCCAGGTACTTTTTAAAGGGCCAGTGCATGGACTTGCTGGGACTCATCCCTCTGAGCTTAAGCAGAGGGGAAGCAGCTTGAAAGACGCCAGAGACATATGGGGAAGAACTGAGTTGTTTGGCATCAGGGCAAGGGGACTGGAGAGTCAGCTTTCTCCCGGACAGACGTGCTAGCAGAGGCTGTTCTTCCTTTGGTGAGCCCTTCCCCC